AGCACACTCTCCCACCTCAGATATTGCAAGATGATCGTTGCCCTTTCTGTATTCTCACAGTATGTTTACTCATGAGTTTTGTGAGCAACCATGATGCATTTGGCTAGCAGAAGAGGGCGCCCAGGTCCTGACATTTTTCCCAAACGCACAAGCAATTGTCAGTGTGTGCTCACTGACTCCAGTGGATGCTCTCCACGGACATCTGAACTTGCTGAGACTGAGAGTCTCTGTCAGCGCCACACAAACACACGAAAATCCTTTGTAGTCATGGAGCAGAACTAGTTTATGGAGTTTATCATGACACCAGGAAGTCTGAGTACACACAGGTAGTGGGCCATCTGATCTGGGCCTGTCTGGATGTGAGACGTTGGATTGTTCTCATGCCCGCTGATCTCTGTCTCTCAGGTGCTTCTGTGTGACGACAGCAGAGTGGAGTAGCAGCTGCAACAGAGACCACGAAACGTGCACAGCCTAAGACCCTAGTTGACCCTTTAAGGAAAGCATTTGTTGATCCCCTTCTCTGCATTTACTGTGAGAATTCTAGTACTAGCATCACGATGGTATCCCCGAGGAAGGATGTTCTGAGACCTCAGTGGTAGAATGCTTGTCTAGCACATGTAAGACACTAGGTTTCACTGCCCTGGACCCTAGGAAAAAGCCACTCTTGGGAGACAAGAGCTTTGTCAAGTCCACTGAACTTATTGACTTTGTTCTGCAAGGCTTCTCCTGGAGCTTAACAGAAGCGTACATGAAAAGCCTCCTTCTGGGTCTGAACGCATTCTTACTGTGTTCCTGCTATCCCAAAATGGTCTAGAGTCCGCTCAAGACTCCAGCGTCAGCATCACCTCAGAGCTTGACAGGATGGAATACACCTTAGACTCTTCCTTAGAACTGCTTCCCAAACTCTCAACTTCTCAAGGTTCTCAGATAGCTCAGGCAGCCTTTTGAGCTGGCAGCCCCGGGATCTTTTACGAAAGAACTACCAGGATGTTTTGTCCCTATCCATTCTGAGTTCAGGTAAACATATGAAGCACACATCTTCAGGACGCTGTCTTGGGGAGAGCAGGGGTTTTGGCATCACATGGTTCTGGATCCAGAAGAAGAATCTGTGCTACAAATCTAATAGATTATTTACTCTGAGCCATTTTCTTCATATCTTGAAAAATTAACTAGGCTTCAAAGCAAGAAAACCTTCTAAGCAGGCTATGTGAGATTTGCACCACCCAATTCAAAGTTACTCCGTCACTTGTCTTTTCTTCCCAAGTGATAATGGCATCAAACTGAAGTAGCTCCTTCCGCCAGTCATTTTAGAACCCAACAGGTCTTCACTTACGGCTGTCAAAACTGACAACTACCACTAGGGGGCAGAAGCGACCTTTTTTAGGTTTGTGACCACTAAACCCTCAGTTTTTAAAAACTTTGGTGTGTTTATATAAACCTCATAAAAATTATCTCTAGACAAGTGAAGTATTACATATAAATATTGGTGTGAGGAGGTTGCTGGGTAGTTAAACTTGGTACAAGCTAGAATAATCAGATAAGAAGGAGGCTTAACTGAGAAAATGTCTCCAAAAGATTGGGATGTGGGCAAATCTGTAGGGCATCTTTCTATTATTTAGTGACTGATGGAAGGGGTAGCCCACTATGGGTGATGCCACCCCTGGACTGCTGGTCCTGGGTTCTGTAAGAAAGCAGGCTGAGCAAGCCATGAGAAGCAAGCTGGCAAGCAGCATCCTCCATGGCCTCTGCATCAGCTCCTGCCTCCAGGTTCCTGGCCTGACATCCTTCAACAATGAAGGCTGATGTGGAAGTGTAAGCCAAACAAACCCTTTCTTCCCCAACTTGCTTTTTTTGCTCACCATATGGTGTTTCACTACAACAGTAACCCTAAGAGAGTGGCTAAACAGAAAAAAAAAATGCATCTCCTTAGGAACTCTAGCGGGTTCTTGGAAAAAAAAAAAAACCTGAAGAACCAGGAGTTCATGCCAGCTTCTGGTGTTGCTATGGCAACCGGCGCTGGATGTGATAGCGGAGCTTGCTGGTGAATTAAAGGGCACAGGCTGGGGAATGAGAGTCTAAGACTACAGTTAGGGAAGTAAAGTCAAAGATAAAAGCAGAGAATATCGCCAAGCGGCAGTGGTGCACGCCTTTAATCCCAGCACTTGGGAGGCAAAGGTAGGTGGATTTCTGTTCAAGGCCAGCCTGGTCTAAGGAGGGTGTAAGGTCTACAGAGAGATGCTCCAAAGCTATGTGCTGAGAAAACCTGTCTCAAAAATAAATAAATAAGCCGGGAGGTGGTGGCGCATGCCTTTAATCCCAGCACTCGGGAGGCAGAGGCAGGCGGATCTCTGTGAGTTCGAGACCAGTCTGCTCTATAGAGCTAGTTCCAGAACAGGCTCCAAAGCCACAGAGAAACCCTGTCTCGAAAAACCAAATAAATAAATGAAATCGGAGAATCTCTGGCCACTGAAATGCAGATATGATTTTCTGGGTTTTATTTATTTTTTTTTCGAGACAGGGTTTCTCTGTACCTTTGGAGCCTGTTGTCCTGGACTAGCTCTTGTAGACCATGCTTGCCTCGAACTCATGGAGATCCGCCTGCCTCTGCCTCCTGAGTGCTGGGATTAAAGGCGTGTGCCACCACCGCCTGGCAATTTTCTGTTTATAAGATGCCCTTGTCTAAAGATAAGCAGTTATGAGTGTGAATTCCTGCGGGGCACCTAGCAGGGATTGCACAGCTGCTGGCAGCTGACGAGGTGCTTAGAGGGACGGCTCGAATTTTGTCTCAGTCCGGAGCAGGCGCTTGCTCGTAATCTTTCAGGAGATGCTGTGGCAGGAGGATCGGGGACTTCCAGACCTGGGCTGCAGTGAATTCCAGGCCAGTTGGGGCAACTTCAAGGTGTGCACCATCACTGCCCCCACGACATTATTACATCTTTTTGGGGGGAAGTGGAGGGACAGGGTTTCTCTGTAGCTTTGGAGCCTATCTTGGAACTATCGTTTGTAGACCAGGCTGGTCTCGAACTCATAGAGATCCTCCTGCCTCTGCCTTCCGAGTGCTGGGATTAAAGGCGTGTGCCACCCCCGTCCAGCACAGTCTATGATCCAGGACAGGCTCCAAAGCTACAGAGAAGCCCTGACTCGAAAGACCAAAGGAGTCTATGAATCAGAAGGGCGGTGATGGCGCACGCCTTTAATCCCAGAACTGAGGAATGGGGGCAGGCGGATCTTTTGAGAATTCGAGGCCAGCGTGGTCTACGTAGTGAATTCCATGACAGATTAGACTGTCTAAAAACAATTTCTCTGTTTGAGCGTTTTTGGACGTGTTAATTGCATTGTGTGAGATATAAACATTAAAATTGGGGAAAGTGGGCCAGGCGGTGGTGGCGCACGCCTTTAATCGCAGCACTCGGGAGGCAGAGGCAGGAGATCTGAGTTTGAGGCCAGCCTGGTCTCCACGAGCTAGTTCCAGGGAAGTGACGTTAAACTGGGCTCTGCCTGCTGGAGGGCCGCCGCCACCACCACGGGCCGCGAGTTCGGGAATCTGACGAGGATGCGTCACGTGATCTCTTACAGCTTACCACCCTTTGAGCAGCGCGCCTTCCCGAACTACTTCAGCAAAGGCATCCCCAACGTGCTGCGCTGCACTCGCGAGTGCATCCTGCGCCGCCGTTTGTGGCGTTTTATCTGATCTTCACCTGGGGGAACCAGGAGTTTGAGCGGTCCAGGAAGAACTCAGCCATGTACGAAAATGACAAGTGAGCAGCATGCGTCTAGATGACAGTTGCCTGCCCGACTTCTCTGCGAGAGGAGTCTGTGTCCTGAAGATACAATAAATTCCTAGTTCCAGGACAGGTTCTAAAACTACAGCAAAACCCTGCCTCAAAAAAAAGGCATAGGAATACTTTACTGCTTGTTTGGTTCTGTAATCACCTCAACGACGTCTAAGAATGCGTCCAATTGTCCCCACTTTACAGATGAGCAGAAGGGGACAGAATGGTCTCCCTGGAAACTGGCATCTTCATTAATCCTTTCCCACCCATCCTGGAGCTTCCTCTGGACCCTCTCACTTCCACATCCCACTGTATCCCCAGGCTTCAAAGCTAATTTCAAACAAACAAAATGTCCTGGGTGCGGTGGCACACTTTTTATCCCAGCACTCAGGAGGCAGAAGCAGGTTGGCAGATCTCTAAACTAGGGGACAGCCTGGTCTACAGAGAATTCCAGGCTAGCCAGAGCTAGATAGACCTTGTCTCTGGAAAAAAAAAAAAAGTATTTTTTTTTTATTTTGCTTTTTCGAGACAGGGTTTCTCTGTGGTTTTGGAGCCTGTCCTGGAACTAGCTCTTGTAGACCAGGCTGGTCTCGAACTCAGAGATCCGCCTGTCTCTGCCTCCCGAGTGCTGGGATTAAAGGCGTGCGCCACCATCACCGAAAACGAAAGTAATCTTAATGTGACACACAGAATTAAGACAGCTTTCACCAGGCGGGGTTGGCACACACCTTTAATCCCAGCACTCGGGAGGCAGAGGCAGGCGGATCTCTGTGAGTTCAAGACCAGCCTGGTCTACAGAGCAAGTGCCAGGACAGGCTCCAGAGCTACAGAGAAACCCTGTCTCGAAAAACCAGAGACAGCCCTCAGCTGCAGAGGCACATGGCACATAAATTCCAGCATGGCAGAGGCTGAAGTACAGAAATATAAAATGCCAGGCCAGCGTGAGCTTTAGGCAATCCACCCTCAAAGATGACACACTCTGAATCGTTTAAGAAAATGTAAACGTTTATTGAAATTGTCTTAGAGAAAACAAACACATAATCCCGAAGCCTGATCCCATGACTGCCGCCCTCCCAAGGTCCAGTCCACAACAGAGCCAGTTTTTCTTAGAAAGCTCAAACGAGCTTTTCTCCCCACAATTCCAACTCCATTCATCTCCCGCTAATTCTCTCATCTCTTTACCCATCATTTTTAATGCAGGAGTGATCCTACGTCCCCTTCAGTTGGTTACTTCTTACTATAATACTTTGACGAAGCCCAAGCAAGAATCAACTTTAAGTTGGTAAGCATGAATTTAAGAGCCTTTGCCCACTCGTCCTCCGTGTTCAGGTGGGTCCTGATGGAGTAGCATTTCCCACTGCCCGTGGTATCCTCCAACATACCTCCCTTCACGTGGATCCTGTAGGGCAGGAAGAGGCCTTCCTCCTTCTGTAGCATCTTCACAAACTGCTGTAGGCAGTCCAAAAAGGCCTTCATCCCACGGTCATACTTGTTATCATAGAAGATGTTGTGGCTCCCATCCGAGAACAAGCGCAGCATTTCATCACTAGTCAAGGACTTGATGTAGGAATGGTCCCCGCAGGGAACTAGTTCGTACCTCTGGAATTGTAGTCCAGATAGCTTGGACAAGCTGAAGAGCAGCAAGGCTGTCTGTCCCCAGGCGGCATTGATCTCATTCCATCCCACCTGGATGTCAGGGATGCGGCCCAACCTGAAGTTGTTGATAATGCCCAAGGGACCCTCATCCAAGATGGTAAACGTGATGTTCAAGATGTCGGTCTTGCTCAGGCTCTGCAGCTGCCCCTGGACATACACCAACTGGTTCTCCACACTGCTCAGCTCGCCCGTCAGCTCCAGCTCTTCCATCTTCAAGGCAGCGTAGTCCTTCAAGTCCTGTTCCTCCTGTTGTTCGAGCTCCCTGGTCTCTGCCTCCGCTGCTTTTTCGGCCTCTATTCTTGCATGCTCTTGGTCGACGTCCTGCAGCTCCTGAGTCAGCCTTGCTTCTTCCTGCTCCAGACTCTGCAGCTCAGCCTGAAGCTCTGCATTCAAGACCTCCCGCTCCTCATCACTCACCAGGGACTCTCTCTCCGTGAAACTTTTGTACTTCTGATTGTCAGCTTCAGCTAGAGTGAGCTGGGCATCTAGCTCCTCCAAGAGGCCGTCCATACAGTCCACACAGAGCGGGTGATCCACATCCTTTTGGCCAGAGACGATTTTGAAGGTCTCTAAGATAGTGTTTTGGATACTGTCCAAAGTTCTCTGGGTGCTCGGCTCACCAAGCAGAGTGAAGGGGCAGCAAGCACCTTCCTGGGATGTCCTGCCAGGGTCAGGATGGCGTCTTCTGGAGGTCCTGTCCTCTAGTTTCCCAGAAACTGGCATCTTTGGAGAAGGACTGGCACGATGCTGGGCTTCCAAGGATCTCCTCTGCATTGCAGAGAGGTCCGGTGAGATTTTCAGGGGCTTGTTGCAACGGTGGCAGAGGAAGCAGGTGGAAGACATCCTGGAGATCAAATCTGCACTCCCACCAGAGTCTAGGTTTCTTTCCAGCCCAGTGAGTCTTTGGAGACCTCTCTCTCCTACTTCCTCATCACAGTTCCCTCCTGGGCTACCTGTAGAGCTCCTACAGCTCCCAAAGGCCAGCGAGTCTCTGGAAAAGGAGATGCTGACTTTATTGCTTTTTCCCTTTTTAAAGTTTTCAAGACACACCTTAAAACTGATTTCTAGCCTTCAAATCTGGCCACGCTTTATCCCACCTTAAAATGCTTAAGGCGCTGGGCTGTGTTAGCACGCCCTTTAAATCCCAGCTCTGGGGAGGCAGAGTCAGGTGGATCTTTGTAAGTTCAAGGCCAGCCTGGTCTACAAGTCAGGAGGAGCTCCAAAGCTACAGGGAAACTCTATCTCGAAAAACAAATAAACAAAAAAAAAATTCTTAATTCCTTTATCTCGTTTTTTTAGAAAAATTCTCCATGGTCTAGCAGCACGGGGCCTGGAATTCTAGCAGTCAAGGGTGGAGGCAGGAGGATCTCGAGTTTGTTTGTTGGCTTATTATTGAGGCAGAGTTTACTGTTGTGTGTAGCCTTGAACCTTTCAGACCAGGCTGATCTTCACCTGCCTCTGGCTCCCAGGTGATAGGATTAATGGCGTGTACTGCCACACCCAGTAAAAGTGGCGCTTGTCACCAGGCTAAACCTTGCCTTGTCAGGACAACCTGCAGCCTATACTGAGAGCTTGTCTTAAAAAAAGGTGTGTGTGGGGCTGGAGAGATGGCTCAGCGGTTAAGAGCACTGCCTGCTCTTCCAAAGGTCCTGAGTTCAATTCCCAGCAACCACATGGTGGCTCACAACCATCTGTAATGAGGTCTGGTGCCCTCTTCTGGCCTGCAGGCATACAAGCAGACAGAATACTGTATAAATAATAAAATAAATATTTAAAAAAAAAAAGGTGTGTGTGGGGGGAGCTCAGGTATAATAACACATGGCTGTGACTTGCCTGTGATCCTAGGATTGTTGTCAGCCTGGTACCAGGCCACCCAGACACACAGCAAGACTGTCACAGTCTTGGTGGCGCAAACCTTTAATCCCAAAACTGGGATTAAAGGTGTGCGCCACCACCGCTTGGCTTGATTTTAGTTCTTAAGTGTATTATAGCGCCCATGTACCACAATGAGGAGGTCAGAAGATAACTCTCAAGAGCTGGATATCTTTTTTTTTTTTGTTGTGTTTTTGTTTTTGTTTTTCGAGACAGGGTTTCTCTGTAGCTTTGGTGCCTGTCCTGAACTAGCTCTTGTAGACCAGGTTGGCCTCAGACTCACAGAGATCCACCTGCCTCTGCCTCCTGAGTGCTGGGATTAAAGGCGTGCACCACCACTGCCGGCTCACAATCAGTTCTGAGTCAGTGCTCCCCCAGGGCTATGTAAACATGCAGATCCAGTTTCTGAAAACCAGTGTCTGAATTAGGAAAGGAGTTTGTTTGAAATGTAGGTTCTTCTCTGGAGTTTGTTTGAAATGTAGGTTCTTCTCGGGGAGCTGAACTACAGGTGGGCATCGAGGCACCTGTGCCGTCACGTGTTTCTCCTCCACTCAACAGAGCTTAGGGCCAGCAGTGGGAAAACAGGTGTCTGTTAGGTTTTGGAGGGTGCAGGCTCCAAAAATTCAAGAAAATATACATGTGTACTAATGCACACATATACCCCTGCACATACTCACAGCCAGGGCCCATGTTTTAAGGACAATTTTTTAGATGTGAGGCATTCAGAGTCTACCATCATTTTGTCCCTTCCTGTACGATGACCTCGCCACTGCACAGTCTGTAACCAAGAGAAGCACAGTTGAGGACTACACCCATCCAGCCTTCTTGTTCCCCAGATCCAGAGGCTGGGGAGGAGCTGACCAGACCTCCTTGCACTGAAAGGTGATTCCTGGAACAGGTTTGTTTGTTTTTATTTATTTGTTTGTTTGTGTTTTGTTCAGTGTGCACCCCCAGCGCCGACCCAAACCTCCCTAGTCCCAGCAACACGCACACAGCTGGTTAGAGGGTATGGAAGGAATGGTGGCTCAGCCTTGAACTCGCCTACTACTGAGCTGTTTAAAGTTGTTTCTCCCAGTTATCCTGTGGGGACGTGCAAGCACAGGTGTGCTCTGGCGCATATATCAAGGTCAGAGTGCAACTAGCGGGAGTTCTTTCTCTCCTTCCAAACCTTGTGGGTTTCCAGAATGGAACTCAGGGCCCCCAGGCTTGGTGGCAGGAGCCCTCAGCTGCAGAACCGTCTCACAAGCCAAGTTGTATGAACTTTGACAAAGCCTGACCACCTCTCACACAGGTGTGGCCAACCTTTTGGTACTGGCACGGGTCATTGTTATCCACCAACTGCCCAAAAGAATTACAAGAGAAGCAACCCGAAGAAAAGCTTATGGTGTTGGAAGCTTGGGCTTTTGCGTTGGGCTGCATTCATAGCTGTCCTTTGTCACAGGAAGCTGGGGGGGGAGGGGTGTCACAGGTTGAACACACCTGACAGGCTGAAAGGGTGTTCAGAGGCTGTCTCTACTCGCTCCTCCTAATTGTATCAGGGCCTCAGAACTTAGCAGGCCCCGTGACCTCCACACAACCGGCTCCATGATGGAAGTATCATTCAACTAAGCAGGTAGACAGTACCACTTGCCAAAATTAAAACAAAGACCTAACCCATCGAAGTCCATAGTTCTGGACAAGTCACTAAACTTACTAACCGTGCTTTCTGGTTTCTGCAGCTCTACTTCTGGCTAACTGTTCTTGTTAACTGAAGTGTGTCAGCCCAGAATATGGGTTCTGTGACTAAAAGCTCACCCTGAGAAAGGCTCAGGGCTCCCTCAGGTCCTAGTGTAGTGGCCGGTTGGCTAATAAAGACTTTCTATTGAGTAAACCCATGCCCAAGTAGTCTTCCCTGCTGAACACCCCACAACATTGATCCCCCTCCATGTACAGCACAGAACCTGTTATTGATAAGCTATGAGCTTTTGTTGATTGAAACTGAGCCTGGAACCAAGGAGTTCATAGGGCTTTGTAACTGGGCGACACCCAGGGGATTTGTGAAGTGATACCTGGGAAATCCAATGTGTAGCGTGGAGTGAACCTTAAATAATGGTGATGAGGGAAGAAGGCCAGGGTCGGACTTCATCACCCTCTTGTGACATGTCCAATGTGTCAGGTACACTCATGCTCCCCCTCACCCCTGTTCTCATCAGACAAAGAGCCAGCATCACTGTGACCTCTGGGTACAGGAGGAAGAGTGACAGCCAGGAACCAAGGGAAAAGGAGGCTCCCAAGAAGGCCATGTTTTCCCAGAGGATCCCTCTCTCTGAGAAATTTTTTGTTTTTACAAAAGACTGCAGCACACAAGAAACTGACCCAAGAGAAACCCTGTGTTTAGGAAAGGCTGGTGCAGAGGAGAGACACAATCTGGAGAAGTCAGTTCCAGACCAAACAAGATGGTGTTAGCCTGTCAGAAGATAAGTATCCCCAAAAGACAGCAAACAGTGCCTCTGAGAAGATGCTGAGGACTGGAGAGATGCTCAGTGGTTAAGAGCACTGACTGCTCTTCCAGAGGACCTGGGTTCAATTTCCAGGACCCACATGGCAGCTCACAGCTGTCTGTAACTCCAATTCTAGGGGACCTGACACCATCATAAAGACGTACATACAAGCAAAACTCCAATGCATGTAAAATAAAAGTAAATTTTTAAAAAAGGATAGAAGATGTTGAACCTTGTCAGGCAGTGGTGGCACATGTCTTTAATCCCCAGCACTCGGGAGGCAGAGGTAGGCAGATCTCTATGAGTTTGAGGCCAGCCTGGTCTACAAGAGCTAATGCCAAGACAGGCTACAAAGCTACAAAGAAACCCTGTCTTTTTTTTTTTTTTTTTTGGTTTTTTGAGACAGGGTTTCTCTGTGGCTTTGGAGCCTGTCCTGGAACTAGCTCTGTAGACCAGGCTGGACTCGAACTCACAGAGATCCACCTGCTTCTGCCTCCCGAGTTCTGGGATTAAAGGCGTGTGCCACCATCGTCAGGCCAAGAAACCCTGTCTTTATAAAAAAAAAAAAAAAAAAAAAAAAGAGAGATGCTAAACCTCAGTTAGTTCGAGGCCAGCCTGGTCTACAAAGTGAGCTACAGGACAGCTAAGGCTACACAGAAAAACTCTGTCTTATAAGGTGAGAAGATACTAAACAAGAGGCTGGGACTGGAGAAACAATCTTTCTTTGAGATGTCGCTGGTCTCAGAGACAAAGGGGGCTCCAAGAGTGCAGCAGTCTCAGGACAACCCCAGGTCCCTGGGAGGGTTGGGGGGAAGCTAGGCCACCATCAGGGAGTTAAGAGGAAGGCCCTGCCATGGTGCAGCAGAGGGCACAGACTCCAGCTGCGGCTTCAGGCAGGCTGTTGGAGATGAATGGGACACCTCAGATAGGAAGGCATAGAACAGCTGGGCCTTCAAACCATGGTTTGATCTCTGAGTTGGATTCCAGGACTCCAGCCCTCTTAGGAAGTCTCAGGACCTTCCAGAGGCTCTCCTACAGAGCTCTGAAGGCTTGGCTATGAGACAGTAACAGCAGAGGCAGCAAGGAGGCTCATCACTCTCTATCTCCTGGTTTGAGCCAAACCCCATGAAGTTTCCACTAAGGTTTGGGCTTGATACTACCTTGGCCTTGGAGGACCCCAAATCTCCCCTGACCACAAAGAAGATGATTTATAGCCCTGAGACAGGGCTTCTCTCTGTAGCCTCGGCTGTCCTGAACCTTACTCTTGAGACCAGGCTAGACTCAGACTCACAGAGATCTGCCTGCATCTGCCTCCTGCGTGCTGAGGTTAAAGGTGTGCACTACCAGCGCCTAGTAGAACACAATGTCTTGCTTGACATGTCCATGCTCCATTCAGGTGACAATCTCTACCAAGGGCGAGGAGGAAGACATCTTGACCTATGCACCTCATCTACCGGAAATTTCTCGAATATCTCAGCCCTTTCAGTTGGA